AGCTTGGTGCCAGCCCTGCCTGGATTCCCAACCCACATGTAACGATAAACACCCGCACCTTTATTTTTTATCAGCTCACTCCTCTTTCCTCTCTAGCTTATCAATCTCTCCCTAGGCTGCTCTGTATTTGCTTTCTGTTTATACAGGTAAGAGGATTTTCTTTTCTCTCTTTTTGTAAACTGTCTTGTTGTTTGAAGTGTGCCTTCCAGCTGGTGGGTCTGCAGATAAGCCATGCATAGACAGGATGCCTAAGACGTGACACCTAGCCCTGCTGGAGGTCCGTGTTAGAAGAAGGTCCCGTCCCCCAGGGTCAGAGGCCTACGGTCATCACACTGCTCCTTAGCTCTAGAGTTTTGTTGTTTCACAAAAATATGAAAGCAGTATTGGTATCTGTTTCCTCAAACGTCACCCGCGTGTTCTGGGTTCATGGGTTGAATTCCTGTTTGTTTTTAGAATTTAGAGCTGAGACTGGTGTTTTCTTCTGTCCACTCGGCTGTATTTTGCCGAATGGATTGTAAGAGGCCCCTGGGAAGACCTATTCTGACCTCTTTTATGAGCTATACTAATGAATATCCTATTCTATTTTTATTGATTGCTTTTGTAGCATCACTAACTTCAGCGTCTTCTGCTTTGCTCTAGAAATCAATAACTTTCTCCTGCTCTCCTTTGATCTTTTATCCCTTGTGCATTATCCCCCAAAACTAGTAGGAAATTCCACACTTTGGTCGATAGATGTACACATGAATTCTGCCTTTTACCACATCTACGAATGTTCTGATTCATTCCCTAGCCATTACTGTCTGTGGCTTTAAAGTTCCCAGTCTCTTGTTTCTAGTAAGCTCTCGTCCTGGTGCTGCCCGGTCTGCGGCGGTGCGCTCGCTCCAGGCGATGGTAGAGGCTCTCCTGTGCTGGCCCTGGCTGCCTCTCCCAGCTTTCCTGAGCTTCCTCCACCATGGCTGTCTGCTTACTGTCCTGTTGTTCTGCAAACTCTCAGTATCCTTGACAATTTCACTGGAGGTTTTGAGGCTGTTGTTGAGGAAATTCTTGATGAGTGTGTGTGATTATCCTCTATACATGAGAGAAATAAGACAGCAGAAATGAAGAGGGAAACACGCAGGTAGAGCAGTTTATCTGGAAATTAAAAAAGAAAAATCAAAGGCCATTGGAGATACAACAGAAGTTCAGCACTGCAGAGTCAGAGAGCAGAGTGATGGAGGCGGCCGCGTGGAAGCTTCCGGTCAAGGTCACAGCAAGGCAGGGAGAGTCGCGCTGTGCTGAGGCTGCGTGTGGGGGGGGGGGGGGGGAACACAGGACACAAACTTCTCTGCAGTGTCACCCTGTGGCTCTGAGCTACAGGAGAGGGGTGGGGAGGCTGGCTGGCCTCCCGGGGGGCCTCTCCTGCCCGGCCCCCCTCCGACCTCCACGCAGCAGTGCTTTTCCTCTCACTTTTCCTTACTGCTCCTGCGAGCAGGTGGCCGGGTGAGGAGCAAAGCTGGTGCTGCAGTGGGGGGTGGGAGGGGCACCCCTCATCCCGGCAGCCAGTGACCTCCCCGCAGAAGCAGCGCAGGGAGAAAGGACGTCGCTTGCCCTCCAAGAAAACCCCGGGCCGAGGCGGCCCAGGGCGGTGTCGGCACACCCTGGAGGCTCTGGGAGAGCTGCCCGGTCCGGCCACCACGGCCACCACAGGGCCACCAAGTGGTAACGGAGCATAGTCATGTTTGAAACACTGCGGGAATCGCCCCTACACGTGTGTGTGGGATTGTAAGTGTGGGCGTCGGCGTGTAAGAACCATCATACCTCCCTCCAGGGTGCAGCCCCGCTCTGCACCCCTGCAGGAGCGTGTGTGCATGCACATGTATGTGTGAGTGTGTGCGCGCACATGTGAGTCTGTGTGTGCACGTGTGTGTGTGTCCAGGATGCAGCCCTGCTCTGCACCCCTGCAGGAGCGTGTGTGCGTGCACATGTGTGTGTGAGTGTGTGCGCGCACATGTGAGTCTGTGTGTGCACGTGTGTGTGTGTCCAGGATGTAGCCCTGCTCTGCACCCCTGCAGGAGCGTGTGTGCGTGCACATGTGTGTGTGAGTGTGTGTGCACGCATGTGTGAGTCTGTGTGTGTGTGTGTGTCCAGGGTGCGGCCCTGTTCTGCACCCCTGCAGGAGCATGTGTGCACACGTGTGTGTGTTTGTGTGTGTGTGTGTCCAGGGTGCAGCCCTGTTCTGCACCCCCCCAGGAGCATGTGTGTGCGTGTGCAAACGTGTGTGTGTGCACGCACATGCGTGTGTGTGTGTGTGTGTGCAAGGATCGTTGGAAGTCGGTCTCCACTCTCTAGTAGGAGCTCTCGGTCAGGTTAACCCTTTGTCACTGATTTTACTCCAGTTATTTTAGGACTGGCTTTCACAAGGTCAAGCAAAACTATTTAAAACTTGGAAAACATTTGATAGTAGCATTTTTAAGTGCAGACTTGCCTTTATAATGTACAATGTGTGGCCATGGGCAGCTGGGATCACAGTTTCTGGTGGTGGGCTTGTTTTCTGCAAGGAAATTCACAGCTGGGAAACTTTCCATTTGATGACCAGTGAGGATGGTGTCTGGCGGCTTCTGTTTCCGGGCCTTTCCTCTGCGCTGTGAGTCCCCACCTTCCCGCTTATAGCCAACCCTTAAAAAAATGTCATGGCTCTTCACAGCTGTTATGGCTGTGTCTGTTTGTTTCTACCTTTAGCGGTGCACAGGGCGCTCAATGGACAGTAAAGTGGCTTGATCCACGCCGCCCTTCCCTCCTCCCCCCCATCGCTCCCGACTCACCCAGCCCCTCAAGTTGCGGGCTCCATGTTCACACACGTGCAGGGAATCTTACTACCACAGGCACTTCTTGCCATTCCTCTGCCCTCCTTCCTTCCCTGGCCTTCTCTCCCCACGCCGCACGTTCCATCTTCCTGGGATTTGTGTTGTTAAACTGCAAGTTAGTTGTGCATAGGGTAGCCACGAAAGTGCTCCCACCGCCCCGCCTGGACCCTTGAGCCGTGGTGAACTATCCCATCGCTGCGGATCCAGACAAGGCCTGGCCCCAGCCCAGCAGGCCGGCCTAGGGCAGCCCCCGCCGCAGCCACACGGCTCCCGCTCTCTGTTCCCTGAGCGCTGGACGCTGGCCGCAGACAGAGAACTAGGGAAGAGGAAGAGAGACATGGAAGTATCATCAGGTGCTCAGATTAATATGCAATATTTACGCTGGTTTTCGACAGCCATCAACCCCCACACCTGTGTCAAGTCAGATGCTGGAATAACGTTCAAACCACACCGCAATTTAAAAATAAGTGATAATGGCCTTGTCACTAATTTTAGTAAGAATCTCAAATAGCAAAAATAATGTATTCCTTCTCAGCATGGCTTGGAAAACACCTGTTCCAAGGCCGTGTAAATTGTTCACACTGAGTATCTGTCCCTAGACAGTTCCAATCTGCCAGCATCACTCAGTGTGTGGTGTCTGTACTTCCTCCCTCTCCGGTCCTCCCCCCGCCTGTGCATCACCCCCGTCCAGCCTCCAGCGCCCATCTGATCTGTCAGCTATAGGTCTGGCTGCCTTTCGTCCTTCTACCAAATACACAATCTGTCATTTTCTGTCATCTCTCAGTCTATCAACTGCCCTCGGTCCCAGTATCTATTTAGTGTACACGTCATCTATTTATCTCTCTATTTACCTTCTGACCTCTAGTATATACCATCTGTTCATTTGTCTCAGTCATCTAGCTCTACCAATTTTTATCTCCATCATCTATTACTCTATCGTATACCTCTATATTCCTCTATTTGCCTATCTATCATCTATTTATCCTTACCTATCTATCTTTATGTATCTGTGTGCCTCTGTCTCAATCTTTCTGGCTTCCTGTCATTATCACCCAGGGTTCATCCTGGCCTCTGCAAGGCACTGGTGATCTTCCTCCTTGACCACACACTTGGTCAGCGGAGGACCTATGTGCTCTTCCATGGAAAGGTTCTTGCGCTCGGCAGAGGCTAGTCGCAGCCCTGCAGCCTGCTGGTGTGCCAGGCAGGAGCCGGTCTCGGCCGGCTGTGGCAACGCTGAGGAGCCTAACTAAACACTCTTGCCTGAAAACCAGGCAGTTGGGCTCCGAGTTACTCCAGCGGCCCAACGTGCACACAGCGCCGGGTCCCCTCCTCCTGACTGGAGAGGTGATAGAGAACCATGTATTTGTTAGCTCAGAAAGTGTTTTCCAGTGTTTGTGACGCTATCTGTGTGGCATCCGTACCTACTGTTTAGCAGTGCCCCTCTGGGGTGTTCTGAATGTCTTCAGGGTAAACCTTGCGCGGAGCAAGCAAAATTCCTTCTGCTTTTTGAGATAGTGAGTGTTGGGTCTTAGTCGGTCTTTGGACCGCCAGGGTCCGAGGCCGTTCCCCAGCCTCCCTTGCCCAGGAGACAATCAGACAGCGGGGAGTCAAACCAAGCAGGAACTCCTTTATTAACAGGGAGCATCCCCTTTTTAAAGAAAAAGACTGCATGGGAGGGGAGGAAATGGAACCAACCAATCACTGAAAGGCCACACCTTATCATGCACCTAAGCTTCCAGGAGTTGTTTACACACTGAACCTAAACAAATCCGGCTCTGCCCACTCAACTTCCTCTCAGGGCCATCTTTGCTGCCTGTGTTCCCCACAGATTTCCCCACACGTGGGCTGTGAATCCAGTACCCAAAGTGTTAAATATTCACAGGTGCTCAGAATAAAGTGGCACTGGGGTTAAGCCATTTCAATTTCTGCTAATAAACAACTTGGAGCAGCTATAAATTTTGAATTTCACAAAATTCTACAATTCAACACTCCCAAATGTATATAATGATCCATGTAGATACTGAAAGAAGCTTGGGGGTGATCTGAGACACATTGGAGCCAAGGAGCCAATTTTAATATCGAAACTGGGTACATGCAATGCTGAAAGTCAAAGGAAGTTCTTCTTACACAAAACAATATTGTGTGCTTTGCATTTAGGTCATCAAACTTGCCTTCGAAGAGTTCGAGCTGGAAAGAGGCTACGACACTCTGACGGTCGGTGATGCGGGAAAAGTGGGGGACACCCGCTCGGTCTTGTACGTGTGAGTACCTCCCCTTCCTCCGTGGGTATCTTCCCTTCCTCCGTGGGTACCTCCCCTTCCTCCGTGGGTACCTCCCCTTCCTGCGTGGGTACCTCCCCTTCCTCCGTGAGTACCTCCCCTTCCTCTGTGAGTACCTCCTCTTCCTCCGTGGGTATCTCCCCTTCCTCCGTGGGTATCTCCCCTTCCTCCGTGGGTATCTCCCCTTCCTCCATGGGTACCTCCCCTTCCTCCGTGGGTACCTCCCCTTCCTGCGTGGGTACCTCCCCTTCCTCTGTGAGTACCTCCTCTTCCTCCGTGGGTACCTCCCCTTCCTCCGTGGGTACCTCC